AAAAAGCAAAAGAGAACATTTTTATTACATGAATAACCGGTAGCATTAGCTTGAGAGAATGAGGAAAATGCAGTGCTAAAAGCTTCACGTGACATCAGGTGTAAATGACAGCAATGCTGTTTTGATTTCCACAGATCTGGGAGTAATCTCATAGTGTATGGAATTTTTAAAGTTTAGGAAGCAGAGTTATCTATTAATGGAGAAAAAAAACCCCAGTCGAACAGATACTATACTTTTTCTTGTTTACAGTGAATTGTCTAATGTAGAAGATAGTTCACCTGTGAATAGAAGTCTGAAATGTGGCAAATGCAAGAGGAAAGCAAATGCAAAAAGAAATAAATTTTTTTCTGTTGTTCACAATAACCTCATACCACTCCTATATTCCCCTTTTTTCTTTAAGCATGACTCATGCCACAACTCTTTTGGAAAAGAAATAGAATAATGCCAAGGTAATTTGTTGTTCTGTGAAATAATTTGGGTTTTGTCCTCACAAAAATGCATGTAAGCTTTTAATTTTAAAGGAAGGAGAGGCCTGAGGTTTCATTCAATATTTAATGTTTATATTTATACTCCCTGTAATGTGGGGTAATTCAGTCAACATAATATTTTTGGATGGTAGAAAAGTTCAAACATGAAAATTCCATTTGGACTGTCTGTGCTGCCTATCAGAAATCTCTAAGGGTATTTAATCATTCAGAATAAGAAAGGTTTCTTTAATTTTTAAACATGTATTTCATTTTATGTTTTATTTAAATTCTCTTAACATTTACATAGAACCCCTTGAAGGCTTGAAAACTTGAAATTTACGTTTGATTAAAAAAAATAAATAATTGTGTAGCAGAGTATGAGCAGAGATATATTAGAGAAAGGAAAGGTACCATTGGAGTATGAAGATATTCTGACAATTACAAACATGACTTGCAAAAATTACTGATTTATGAAGTGATTATTTATTTTAAAGGAACTGGAAGCCAGATTCCAGTAGGGGTGTTGTGATACTGTTGCCTCCCACAACAATGTGAATTTTTAAAGAACTGCTGTACATGAGGAACTCGAAGCTGCAGAAGTGTAGTTAATTATGGCTTATGAGACAGGGGAATTAAAGGCACAAGGGTAGTTTCTTTTTCCATGTTAAGAGATGGGTGTTCTTGGAATTACTCAGGAAATATGGGCTAAGGGGGACTGGGTTGGTGCTGCTGCTGTGAACCTTTGGGAAAAATAATTACGATAGGAAAGTATTAATGCTGTAAACATGGGAAAAGGACATCACCAGCTGTACAGTGGGATGTGCAGCCTGGCATGGTCCATGAGAGACCAGAACAGAGAGGAGAAATGAGCAGCTTTGGAAGAAGCAATTTCAAGTAGTAACTGAAAACGTAAAGGGTTTCTTATGATAAACTTCTGCATCTTTAAACTTTGATTCCCTCCCAGCAAAATGACTGAAAATTTTCTGAATTTTCTCATAGTTACCAATTGTATGTTCCAGGAATGCTCAGTTTGGCCTAGGTTGCTGTGTTAAGTTAAACTCACTAGTTAGTGAGTCTCTTGAGGTTGATGGCAAGGTATGTATCAGCCCCTTCCACTTGCAACCTGTCCTACAGGACCTTAGGAAAACAGATGACCCTTCACTGCTTAACAAGCAATACTAAAAAGAAGATATTTATTTACTTCTGACTTAAATGTGCTGATGACAGTTTACATGCTGTAATCTCTGAGTCTACCAGCAAAATGCTAATTGCTCAGGTTTGTCAGGTATTTCGTTTATTTCTGGTTTCTTCAGCTATTAAGCAAGGTCCTTACTATCACCATTAAGTGACTCTTTTCCCAGCTGACTGAGGGAGGATGAAAACTTTTATTAAAGCAGTTACCCCTTTAAAAAGTGTTTATTCAAATCTTCCTATTGACACTAATACACTGTACTCTCAATTTAGAGTTTACCAAATACTCATTACTAAACAAATTTAGTTTCACTCATATCATGAGAATGCCAAGCATTTTCACATACTTTGGGTGGAGAACTGAATGTAAGGTTCTGTCTTTCTATTCTTCTTTCTTTCTTTCTATTTGTCTTTTCTCTGTTGTGCCATTTTCTGGCTGGTAGGAACCTCAGACTAAACCTGATTTGATTTCTCCGTGATTGTATCTTACTTCCACTTTTGGGACATATGCTGGCTTGTTTTTTACCCTATCTAGTCCAAGGTGATGTGGTTATGTAATATGATTATTTAATTTACAAATGAATTTACAAAAAGTATTTTCTATGTGATTTGAAAATTGCATAGAAGCAATGCAATGATTAATTTTAGATTTTCAGTGTACCCATTTGCTTGTAACTCTTTAGCAGCTATTATTAGTCACATTCAGTGGTCTTTGGGAGGTATTCCTTGGCTTTGTCACAGTACAGAAGTATACATAGCTGTGTCCAAAACTTGCAACTTAAATAAAGGGTATGAGGTATGTGACACACAGGGGTTTCATGTGTAAATATGCACACATTTCAGGTCATCTTGCCTTTCAGCTCCAAATGTTCTCCAATACAATTCGTGATAAGCCAGCAAGCACTAGCAGTGGTTTTGTACTTTAAACTTTGATACTTATGCAAAATTTTTTTAGACAGGTTGTCACTACTTCTAAGTAATTTTTAAGGAAAATACCCAGGATCAGATATTTAGTATTGCTGTATTCACTACTGTCTGTGATATCACTTGTCTTTGATACAATCAGTCATTAGAATGTCTCGATGGAATTCAAATCTTCATGTTTTTCAAAGAACCGTAGCAAAAAAATTTCATTTTATTGCATCATTTACTGTGGGGAGGGGGAAATTAAAATGAGACAGTTTCACCTTGAGAATTAATTTGAAAACTTTCATATCTTTTTTTTTGTACAGAAGGCTGTTGTTCAAAACCAGTTTATAACTCTCTAGACAGAAGCGTCTCTAGATTTTTGATCCCAGATACTTGTTTTAAGAATTTACATGCTATTTCAGTTTGTTAAACTGAAATTTGAAAAATATGTAGTTAAAACCTGTCCCAGTGTTTTAGCTTTTTCTGAGATTTTTGAGTCATAGTTGGTTAATAAGAATTTTGTTTTCACTTCTCCCACGCCTACATTAAAAGCACCTTTTCTGTCACACAGCCTTTACAGTTTTCCCATAGGGACATATAATGGAGTTCATCAAAGTGAAAAAAGTGAGTCACACAGTCATTTATTTACTCATGTAAGACAATAATGGTGTTGATAACTACCTGGACACATTTTCATTTCGTTAGATTATGGAAAAGCTGTTAAAAATTCTTATCAGACTTGATGACAAGTGAACAGAAAGAAACTCAGGGCTGCCAGGTTGTTACCGTCTCATTTAATGCCGTTTGTTGCCTTTTGGCAACAATGAGAAGAAATGCTATTTTTCTGAATTTTCTAGAATATTTAATTATATAGATTATGACAAAGAAGTCCAGTTTTCATGGTATAGGCAGTCAAATGATGCACATCTTTATTTTATTATGATTAAAATATCAGTTTAGATTCTATGTCTATCTAGTTTCATGGGCATGAGTTGCCTAATATTCATAGGTGAGGTTTCATGTTTTTCTGCTAGACAGATGACTACAATTCAAGTATAGAATTCCCTGCTGTCTGTTTTGTTTTCCAGCCCTGAGGGACTGGAATTTCAAGAGCTAGTAGCACTGACTCACTAACAGCAGAAAACCTTTTGCAAGAGTGCTGGAAAAGTATTTTGGAATCATTCTGAATGGCAGGCTGGCTCTGATGGGTTTATCAGAGATGAGAGGGTTCCTGACAGTGTTTTCATCTTGTGGGAGTGTTTTAATTACTTTTTTGCTATGGTTCTTTTAGGAGCTGTTGAAATAGAGAAGAACCCTGCATTCCCCCGTTAATACTTTCTTTAACTTGCTTGTTTGGTAGGTTTTTCTGTGTGTGAAATGGTATGTTTGACACCAGAAAGCATTTTTGCTTTGAAATTTTTATGTATAAGGTACTTCTTTATGTCAGGGGCGTTGAAATCTTCATAGAAACCTCTACAGAAAATGTAAACAAAATCTGAGACAGTTCTTTACCTGTCCTTGATATTCCTTTCTTTTCAGCTGCTGCACACCTTGCTGTCTTTTCCCTATTCTATTAAACTGTGTAATGCTGCGTAGTAAAATATGAGATAAAAAATGGAAATGTAATTTTTTTGAATTAGCTTTCAGTGTCTGTAGCCATGCATCAGGTTTAATTTCTGAGATGTATAACCACATTTGTATCTATCTATCTAGTGTGAAAAGCAAAGATGGTCAGCATCAAGTATTCATCCCAAGCACAAGATTGCTCTTGATCCTTTTTCCACTGTCTTTAGTGACTAGAGGTAGTGTGTAACTTCCAGACACTGGATACGCACCCTTTAGTTGTCCTTAACAAGTAATAAGGAATCTGAGACACTGCTTCACATTTTAAATTCACTGGTGAGCAGAGTTCATTTGTGTGAAAGGTTGTCTTTTTTAGTACCTTACTTGTCTTCAGAGTTTAATTTAGTATCTCCCTGGTGGGCAACTGCATGGGAGGTAATCAGCTTGACATCATGGCTTTAGGGAGTGCATTTTGTTTCCATAATTGGCCTACATTCCATCTGCACACAATCTGAATTAAGATATCCAAAGGTTTTTGCAAGGTAAGCATCCCTGAAATTCAAGCCTTGAATTTTTGTCATGTCATATCAGTGCTATATTTATTTCCGTGTGGTTTGCACAATCTATTCTGACTATACACTTAAAACTTTGCTTTTATCTAAATTTCTTTCATCTGAGAGATCATTCATTTCAGTTTTGAACATTTTTTTCTGTAGTATTTTTCATCTGATTTGAAATGTAAAGTTAAAAAAAAAAGCCATACATAGATTTTTAAATTCTCTGTCCAGGCATTTAGATTTACATTTTCCACAGAACTGTTTGAACAGTGAACAATCAGAAAGTAAGCAAAGCATTTTCACTTATTCTCAGCAAACTGCATTCAGAGGATGAGAAGAACACCTCCGCTGGATGAACTGCAGCCACCTCCATACCAGGATGACAGTGGCTCCCCTCATCTTTCCTGTACACCTTCTGAAGTTGGAGACAGCAAATGTGAATATTCCCAGTGCAGCAACAGCCCAAGGTGTTCATATAAGTGCCCAAGTGAGGGAAGCACGGGACATGAAATAGAAAGCTTTCATAACAAAGGGTATGAAGAGGATGTTCCCAGTGACAGCACAGCGGTTCTTAGTCCAGAGGTAAATGGAAATAGCTGAGCGTGGTGAAAAACTTCTTTAATCTAAAGATCAATGCACAGTTATACAGGCACTAATACTCCTGCTCATTTAATTTAAGAAAAAAAGTAGTTTGTCAGAAAATAGGACACTAAGATTTCAGATTGCTGTAGTTACCTTTGTGGCATCTTAGCTTTTAAACCAGTTCCCAGTAAGAGTGAATTATTTTTTAAACCGTTTTAAACCAGTCAGAAAATTTCATCACATTGTAAAGACTGTAGTCAAAATTTTTCCACATGGTTTTTCAGGCAACATAAATTAACTTCTCTTAATGCCCTTTTTAACCACTTTTCTAAAAACCCTCTAATTTATGAATCCCAGCACTTTTTCAAACTGAACGCCCCATAATGTAAAATAAGTTTTATGAAAAAAAAAAAATTGCAAAGGTTTTTTTTTTGATGCTGTTCTTGTGATTTGGGCCACTTAATGTTCCTATTTTTGTGCTATAGATTGTAATGATATATATATATTTTTTTATATGAAGAAACCAACTTTTTTGACGCGTATTTCATTGAAATGCCTTTAGCAACCAGTTACTGCACTGACATCTATGGGTGAAGTCTAATTAGTGATGCCATGTGCAGAAGAAGCTCTTTTGCTACAAATTTGTCTTTTGTTGCCACCAGAAGTTTTGGAGTATGTGTTAGAGCTCAGCCCTGATGTTTCTGTCTAAGCAGCCCTGTTGGTAGTTGATGATGTGTACCTGGGGTGTTGGTGCAAGGTCTGGAAGGCCCAGCTGCAAGCCCTTCCCATTTTGTGTCACTCAAGACGTTAATGTAAGCATATTCAGTAAGAACTGAGAATGCTGCCAATGTTTTTTTATAGCCACTCAAAGCTTCAGGAGTGAAGCCTTTACAGGAATGCATTCCCACAGCTATCTGGCAGCCAGGTTAAAATAAGAACATTTCTTAGCCCAGAAGGCTTTGTCTTGGCATCTATTTGTTCATGTAAACAAGCTTATCTTTGATAATGTGAAGACACACTTAAAATACCTTTGTTTTACATACTCGGAATAATTTATTGTATGAGCAGTGGGTTGACCTGTACTTGTAAATATTTTCTGTTTCAGTCTCCCTATCAAACTGGCTGTTGTAATTTTTATAGGGGATCAGTATTTTATTCAAAATTTGAAGTGACAATAAACCATCTGAATTTTAAGTTTAAAATACAATTTTGGGATTGAATATGGTTTACAGAGAGTTCAGAAGATGAATTCAAAACAGATACATCTTCTGCAGTTCTGGTAAAATTACATGAATAAAACCTTGAGAGTGACATTCTTGGCCATAGCAGAGGGGTTGGAACTAAAAGATACTTAAGGTCCCTTCCAACTCAAAATTTTCTGTGATTTTATGTTTCTATGATAATTTTTGGCATATTCATATAACTCTTGCGGACTGCAACAGGAGCTGTGTGTGTAAGGTTTGGAATTCCTGTGTTCTTTGCTGGCATCTCACTGTGCTCTCAATCATTCGCTGTCTCTTCAAGCAGTGTAATAGGTGAACTTTAAAATGCATGTGTGAAATAAGGTGATTTTATCTTGTAACAAATGTATATACTTTTTAACATGTGAGGCACAGAAGAAGAGATCATTACAGCTTAAGTCAATCTTAGTTCAGACTGATTGGCTCCTGGCTTTTGGTGGTATTGGCCAGGTAAAGTCTTGATTTCATCTTGGCTGCCATCTCCTTGGGCTTTCAGTGCTTAATAACCTTGTTCAGGAAATGAACAAAAAGATCATAGTGGCTTCATATTGTCTGGAGTATACCATAATTTCCATGCCAGATTTAATAATAGAATACAATAAATAAATAAATAAATGGCTTTTTTTGTCTTCTTCTTCAGGATATGTCAGCTCGAGGATCATCTTCACAGCTTCCTAAACCTTTTGATCCTGAGCCAGTAGCTAAATATGGCACACTGGATGTGACTTTTGACTATGACTCACAGGAACAGAAGCTTTTGGTGACAGTGACAGCTGTCACAGACATTCCAACATACAGCAGGACAGGTGGAAGCTCATGGCAAGTACACCTAGTTCTTCTCCCTATAAAGAAGCAGAGAGCAAAAACCAGCATCCAGCGGGGACCGTGCCCTGTCTTCACAGAGACATTCAAATTTAATCACGTCGAGTCAGAGATGATTGGGAATTATGCGGTTCGCTTTCGACTGTACAGTGTACGGCGCATGAAAAAGGAGAGGGTTGTGGGAGAAAAGATTTTTTACTTGACAAAATTGAATCTTCAAGGGAAGATGTCAGTGCCAGTGATACTGGAACCTTCTTACAGTCTGCCTGTAAGTATTAAATGAGGCAGAATAAGAATGCAGTGAGATACAGTGTCCTGACTTCTGAATAAGAATAGTGCGTGTATTTATAGAGTCATCACATCCACTCAGTTTTTTGAACAATCATAGCGCTGCATTAGCACAATGAAAATTTCCTTAGAGCTTCTGTAAGTACATTCACTTTCCACCTGCAAAAGCTGGCCCTATTTTTCCTTTTAATTACTTAGAAATTTCCAGTCCATAAATAGTGATATAGTGGTGAATGTATGTTTCTTTGCATATAGATATGTATATGTATGTAATAATATTATCTTTACCACTTGCAGCACTTCAATTTAAGAAGAAAAACACACCAGAGTGGAATAAAAAGAAGCTACACTAGCAAATGTCCTCCATCTGTTGCTATTAAGTCTTGGTTGAAAATAGGTATTTTCCTTGAAAGAAAGAAAGATAGGAAAGAAGAATTTTGAGTGTATAAATCAATTTTTAATAACTTCACATTAGAACCTTGGAAATAGTTGATTTCTGGTTCAGTCTGAAGTGAAAGGTAGTTGAAATTGAAAAGGATTTTTTCTGAAAAAAATACCCCTACCTATCTGATGAACAAAATTATTCGTCCCCCAAATAATATTTCTAATAAAGCAAAGCAACAATAATTAAGGATCAACATAGGTATCATTATCAATAAACACAGAAGATCACTAAATTGGCAGTGATCACCATCTTCCTTTTTAAGAATTTAACTATGCTTTTGTCCAGAACAAGAATGTTTGTCATGTTGTGGTCTGGGCATCCTGGACTAGAGGTGCTTTGGTGTTCCTTGCTTAAGAGTTGCATGTGTGATATATTACAGATACATTTTGGGGAGAAAAAAATTATGATTATCAAGGACGATTCATATTTGGTCACTGTATGTATTTTGTGGTTTGGGGTTTTTTTTAACAATCCATAAAAGTATAAGAGGGGGAAAAGGGAAAGAAAGGAAAATATATTTTAGGTGAAGCAAAGCAATTAATTTGTTCTGCATTTTGAAAAAAAGTTTGGATTCATTGAAATAGCATTTCTGGTGAACATGAGTATTGCCAAAGACTCAAAATAAAAGGCTGTTGTATTTAATGACTGAAAATATATTTATTATTAAAAGCTGAAGTTAAATCATGGATCTGGTGGAGGATCAGCTGACAATAGAGCAGATTCCTCATGGTTCCTTAAGAAGCACAAATCAATCTAATCTAAGGATGAAATGGTTCACCTCTCTAGAACAAACTTTGTTAGTGAAAAGTTTGCTAATTTCACAGCTTGGAAAAAAGGACCCCATGACCCAAAACACTGAATATTCTAAAGGTACTTGCTTAATTTGCGTGTTTTCCATAAGTTTGTGTATAAAATTTACTAAAGTAAGTGGAAAAGGGCAATGAATGGGCCATGTATGTGATTGATTGGCGTATCCCACATGCACACTGGTTATTCTTCAGTATTATTTTCTTGAGGTTTTGTGATAGGCAGAATAGAAACAGGTTCCATAAGGCATGAAAAATTATAGCTTATTCCTTATGTTCTGGTATGATAAGGCATGGTGTGTCAGCATTTTCTGCCCCTCAGTGTTTGGGGGCTGGAACAAGAATAAGGAATATTGGTAGAAAGTGAAGGGATCTTTCAGAGTTTGTTGTTGTAACAGGATTTAAGCAGCTCTACCTGTTGCTGGAAAGGATCCTTCAGAGTCATGATAGCTTGAATAAGGAGCCATAGTCTTCTGGAACTACGCAAATCAGGCTTTAAACCTTTGGGAATTGATTAACTTTTGAGTTTATAGGTATTTTTATCTTATTATTTATAGCCAATATAATATTTTTTCAGTAAGCAGATTTATTGCAGGATTTAACATCTATTTGTTTTGCAAGAGTGTTAAAATTCATTTTGTTTTTAGGATGTATGACTGGAAGTAAGAGGCATCCTTGGGCTCTTGAGCTCAAGCCCTGGTTATGAAAAGACCCAGGTCATCTTGATCGCAAAATTGTGAATTTTCATCTGAAAACATTAGGTTGTTTTGTTTGCAACCTGAATTTCTTCATGGCCAAGTTATTACCATTTGTTCTTCTGCCAGCATTGGCCTTGAGCTTAATTAGTTCCTATCCTTCTCAGGTGTTTGCCTCTGGGTATATTTATACACATTGATTGTATTCCTTTTTAACTGTCCTTTTGCTAGAATAAACCAACAGCCTTTATGTACAATTAATCATGAATGTCAGGACGGAGTTATTTAACAGGAAAAGGTAAGTGCTGTTTGAATTTGGAGATATCCAGTTGCTCAAGGATATTAGTAATTATAAGATCCATGCTGAGGCACATTCTACATTCAGAATTAAATTTGCCGTGTTCAGTTGCAGAGGGTTTTGTTGCTGAGAAGTGTTTATATGTGACAGCTTTTTTATGAAGATATTTCTTGGACACATGACAGGTGTCCTATTTTTTCAACTGCTTCTCATTATATGGATTTTATATATTAAATATACCTTCTGTCACTGAAACTTCCTAATCCATTGGAATATCTATGTTAATCTCTTCTGCAGAAATGTATTTTATTTCCTTCTGTCTGTGCCTGATATTATATTAATGTATTTTATTAGCTAATCATATGCCTTCTGATTGTATAAGAACAGTTTGTATCCTGTGAAGTTTAGTATTTTTTCAGTGATACCTTAAAGCTGTGCATAAGGAATCTGGCTAAAAGTACATCAGCAAGTCCAGTGCCTTTCAAATATAGTGACAGTTTGACATGAGTGGGGCCTGCAAGTCTCTGGTTATTGTTAAAGTGTTAACAAACGAATGTCATGGTGAAGACATGATACTAGTATGTTCCTTAAATAGGTTTCATGGCTTCAAATTTACAAATATATTCAAAAATATCATTTTCACTCAAGATTTCACCCCGTTTCTCTCCTTCCCACATTGTGGATAATGCCTTGCATTAGCAGCTATTATCCCCAGTCCCGTTGCCATTTGTCTTTAACAGCCCTGTGCTGCTGCAGTTCTCCCACGTAACAGGGAAATCCTCATCAGCCCCCTTATTTATCACACATTTTCTCCCAAGTTCAGGGCAAATGAGGAGGAAGCAGTGAAACCAATGAGTTGGGCAGAATGCAGTTATCTGAGACTGTATCCCTTTCAGATTTAATAGAAATGGTCCATTGCATCAAACGTTTAATATTCAGGGGTGTAATTCAGCGGTGACAAAATTATGGTTTTGTCAGAGTATAGTTTGTGTAGGAAGATATTTGTCAATGCTTTCAGAGAAATTTTCCCTTTAGTACAGCAGAAGACAAATTTTTCTTCACCCATCTTGGAGTTTAGAAAAGCTGTTTATTCCTCTTCAGGAAATCCCTGTGGACCTGTTTTTAGTTACTCTTCGTTCTCACCCAGAGAAATTTTCCTGACAGTGAAAAACAGCCTCTAGTACGATGCGATTATAAAAACATTTAAGCAGTTTATTGAGTGAAATCTGTTTGGAAAAGATCAAAGTAACATGGTAATCCACTTCACCATCCCATAGGTTGCTTTTTGGTGTAGAATAACAACAATCAATCAATCATGGTTTTTATTTTGTGATTGATTTGGGAAGTACTGTTTGGGTGACTGAAACATACCTCTTGCTGCTAAGAAAATCTAGTAATCATTCATTATGTATCATCAAATTACAAGGCGTTTGCTGGGAAGAATTAAATTTCTTTTTCTTTCTTTCTGTAGCATTCTCAATTTCTAACATCTTGAACTCCCAGTGTGATCCCCATAAGAAAGAACCAATGGTGAAGGCAGTCATAAGTGTTTAAAATATTATTTTGTACATCTTTACTATAAAGATCCAGAGTGTCTGGATAATTATTTTAATTAGTGATGGCAATTATGTATGCAGTGTGTAAAAATGCTCACTCTTTCACACACACACACATGCACTCTACTATGAGGAGAGTGGTTAATCATTTAGCGTGCACTGACATGCCGCAACTAAAGGCCAACATGAAATAAAGGCCTTTTATTTCATGTTGGTCTTTAGGTGTGGCATGTCTTGAGTATTCCTTGTAATGTTTATCAGTTCATAAACTTTGCAGAAATGAAGGCTTTCAGAGTGGCATTTCCTTTTTGGGTCGTCTTGTCCATTTTAGAGTCAAGCTGTCAGGTTTTGTGCGAACAAAGTAGAAGAGTCACTACTAGTCACCTTACTGCTGTGTTCTTACAGCATGATGTATCCAGGATTGTATTTGGAAGGCTAAATACTAAAATTCATATGCATAAACAGAGCTTTATTAGATACCAGTATGATACTTTAGGCTGCTAAAAAGAAAAATTACTAACACTTGTCTAGGGAAGAAACAAAAAGACGAAATACTTTGTTCTTAGTATTTTAACTGGAATTCTACCTAAAATGAAGACTTCCTTGTGATAATATATAAATGCTCTTGATCAGCTTGTATAAATTATATCCATCAAAGTGAGGGGCAATTATATTTCAACCCTGAGCCCATTTTATCTCAGGAATAACTCACTCAATTCATCTGAGTTAGTGGTAGTAATACGCAGAAAATCAGAATTGATCCTTTGATGCAATAAGAAAGATGACTCTTGCTGTAAGTTTGAGAAAGTTACAAGGTGATTGGAGGATGGTGATAATGTTAGTGAGGCTGCAGGAGAACTTGGCAGTACTTGGCAAACAAAGCATTCTCCCTGTGTTTGGCTGCTCGTGTAACATTACATGGCAGTACCAGCAAGCAGCAGTCATTGTCTTCATGGTGTTGTGGCTGGGGGTGAAAAACATTGACTTTCAACTCCCTTGCTGATACAGATGGGAAGCAAGTTCCTCCATGGGTAGCCAGGTCTATTACCATAACCCTGAATGCAGGATACTGACAGAATTTTTGGAAGTCAGCAACGTAAAGAATTTTGTCTAGACGTCAAAATCATCACTTGGTCACACAGAGTAAAATAACAATTTAAAAACAGGCATGCTTTGCCTT